ATTTTCACACATTGTGTGTGTGTCAATTCATTATGTGTGTAGTGTATAGTGAATTGTAGTTCGACTGTGGTGTATAGTGAATTGTAGTTCCAACAACAAAAGTGCAATGGGTGGGTGTGAAATGAAAATTTGATTGAATGAGTGACTGACTGAATGCAAGCATGATTTATTGACACACACAGACATACGTACGTACAATACTTCAAATTCTTAACGACGACAATCACCACACACATCTCCATCACATTTGTTGCATTGCATTAAGGTTGTGCTGTTGTCGATGTTGTTGTTGTTTGTGTCTTTGGCAAATTTTATGCAATTGAGCTAACATTTGAAATTGATTGCCGAATGACTTGCCTTAGATCGATGGATGGTTGGCTGGCTGGTGCCTTATTATGCAATTTTCTGTAAAATTGATTGCATAAACAATGTTTTGTTGTTGTTTTTGTTTGCACTTTTGAGTAGAAAAAAAACAAAATTATTTCATTAGCAAAGAAAATTTGACAAATTATTTGACAAAAAAAGTAAATAGAAATTGAGGGGAGAGAAATATTTCCTTTATGCATCACTTAGGCATTGCTTCCCTTCAATGTCTAAGCTCTGAATTTTTAGAAATACGAATAAGGGAAATGTATTTTTTAAATCTACATCAAAATTTGTTGTGTTCGTAAGGAGTGACATTTTATACCCTCCACCATAACTTGGACACTCAAATTCTCTATAATCGATCCGGACTGATAATTTTATACTGACTGATAATTTAATACTGATAATTTTGCTGGGGAGGTTTGATATTCAATGAGTACCCAAAATACCTATTTCTATTATCTACTTAATTGGCTGTACTTTTTTTCTCTTCTATAGAATATCCTGCTGGTTTTCGAAATTTTTTCTTTAAAATATTCACGTTTCTATAAATTATATGCTGGTCCTTTAGAAATTGTTCCACGCCATGAATGATCCTTTCGAAATTGTTCCAATGCTTGAATAGTTCTTTAAATTATTCCACGTTTTTAATGGGCTTTTAAAAATTATTCAACGCCTTATTCCACGCCTCAGTTTGGACTTTTAGAAATTATTCCAAGCCTTAAATGGTCCTTTGCAAATTATTCCATGCCTTGAATCCTTTAAAAAAAATCCACGTCTTAATAGTTCTAGAAAAATATTCTTTATAAATCCACTCTTATAGTGGGCCTTTAAAAAATAATAAAAAAAACACACCTATATAGGAGTAGAAAAATATTCTTAAAAAATTTAACACAAAAATAGGTTTAGAAAAGTATTCTTTAAAAAACCAAGCATTTATAGAAAAAATATGATTTAAAAGATTCAAGCTTATAATAGGCCAAAAATAATAATCTTAAAAAAAATCACGTCTATAAAACCCACAATGGCGCTGGGTACAGAAAAAATATTTTAAAATTGTATACCTTCAACCACACTGTAGTGATGCAGAGTATTATATAAGTGGGCAGTTCGGAAAGTTCTTAGCTTAGCACAAAAAGCGCGGTATAAACAGAAAAAAAGTTAAATGTATTGCAAACTTCTATCTCTATTATGAACACATATTAAATTTTGTTTCGATCTGGCAACTCCTTCATATACAAACAGGTGTTTAAAAAAAGACGCATCCGCAATTTTTTTACAATGGAAAAATTAGAAACGAAATTTTGCATATCGTACCGAACTGAGTCTAGAATAAAATGTGCTAATTTTTATTTAAATAGATTCCGATGCAGATATACCTTCCTCCAAATTTAGATGTATCTCCAATACATATTTTCGACCGATTTCATGAAAATTCTACACCAAATAACCAACGTTTCTCTGATTGAGACGAAATATCGTACAACGTACTGAATCCCATATATATTTTCGTCCGATTTAAGGTAAATTGTGCACCGATTTTAACGAAATTCGGCACAGGGTACTGAATTGTGTATAGAATGATGAATGGTGAGTTTCGGAAAAATTGGTTCAGATTTAGATATAGCCCCCATATATATTTTCGTCTGATTTTAGGTAAATAGTGCACCAAAGCCCCTATATATCCTTCGAAATTTGGCACAGCGTACTGACTTAAGTCTAGAAAGATTTGTGTTAAATTTCGTGAAAATCGGATCAGATTTAGATATAGCTCCAAATTTAGATATAGTTTCGTTGGATTTCATGTACTAAAGAACCCAAGGTCTGTTCGATTCTAAGAAAATTTTGCAAGCGTTCCAAAATGAGGTGTATTGGGTTTCATTAAAATCGGTTCCGATATTGTTATAGTTCCAATATACTTTTTAACCGATTTCTTAATGGTGCCCCTAAGACCCTAATTCTCAATGGACATGATATTTAGTATAGATTGCCGAATGACATGTCCATGGATTGATTGAAGCCGGTTCGTATATTGATATCCGCACATATTTAATTTCTTTAAATCAAGGGTCCACCATAGATTCTCCAACTATCCTATCTCTACAACTCTTGGAGATGTAGCCGATTTATTGTGTCAGCATCTAGCGACTGTTTTTTCCTCATTCGGTTAGTTCTCGAAAATAGGGATTTTTTAAAAAAATAAATTTCTTATATGCGTCATTTTTTTAACTTTTTTGCGATGTTAAAAATCCTAGTTTCTATCAGAGCCAGACTTGTACTCTTTCGATTGCTCTTTGATGTTTTGGAATCGGATATTCCAGTGATTGAAAGTCATGCCCATCGTCGAAAAGAAGGACTTTTTCTTAATTACAAAAACAACAAAATTATCTAAATTCATGTTCTTATTCTCTAAGTCGTCAAGTCCTTATATACAAAGTTACAAGTCTTCAATGTACGTCCGTTTTTAAGAAAATTATAAAAATTTGAAATCGTGAATGGGTTTCCCCTTAAAGTTCGAAAGAGGCATCTGATATATCCCCATAGTGGCGTAGAGTATCATATAGTGGGCTCTGACGACTTTATTCTATTCCTTACCTGTTTTTAGTTTTTATAATACTATAATTTTTTTAAATGTTCGTAAATTTTATTATTGTATTTAATATCAAAATTTAGGGGATTATTTTTATACCCTTCACCACACTGTGGTACAGGGTATTATGTCTTTGTGCATATGTTTGTAACAGGCAAAAATAATCGATATAGACCCATGGTTCCTTTTGAGAATATGCATAGAATCACTTTCTGAGTCGATTTATGCATGTCCGTCTGTCCGTCCGTCCGTCCGTCCGTCCGTCTGTCCGTCCGTCCATGTATTTTTGTTAACAAAGTACAGGTCGCATTTATGATCCGATTTGGATGAAATTTGGCACAGGTCACTTAATTGGCCCAAGGACGAACCCTATTGAAATTGGAGAAAATCGGTCCACGTTTAGGCATAGCTCCCATATAAGGGTACCCCAAAATTTTCGGATTTTGAGGTTCTTGAGCGCGTTTTTTAACTGAATTCGCTGAAATTTGGTACTTTGAGTTCTTATTGGGTAGCAAATCTCTCTACCAGAAATTATAAATAAAGGTCCATTTTTTCGGATAGCCCCCATATAAGATTACCCCCAATTTTCGGTATTTTGGGGGTTTTGATCGCATTTTCCGACCGAATTCGCTGAAATTTGGTACTTTGTGTTCTTATTGGGTAGCAAATCTCCCTACCAAAAATTATAAATAACGGTCCATTTTTTCGCATAGCCCCCATATAAGGGTACCCCCAAATTTTCGGTATTTTGAGGTTCTTGAGCGCGTTTTTTAAGTGAATTCGCTGAAATTTTGTACTTTGAGTTCTTATTGGGTAGCAAATCTCCCTACCAAAAATTATAAATAAAGGTCAATTTTTTCGGATAGCCCCCATATAAGATTACCCCCAATTTTCGGTATTTTGGGGGTTTTGATCGCATTTTTCGACCGAATTCGCTGAAATTTGGTACTTTGTGTTCTTATTGGGTTGCAAATCTCCCTACCAAACATTATAAATAAAGGTCAATTTTTTCGGAAAGCCCCCATATAAGGGCACTCCCAATTTTCGGTATTTTCGGGTTTTTGGGCTCGTTTTATAACTGAATTCGCTGAAATTTTGTACATTGGGTTCTTATTGGGTACCAAATTACTCCACTAAAAATTATAAATATAGGTCCAGTTTTTCTGGTAGTTCCCATATAACGGTACCCCAAAATTTTTGGTATTTTGGGGGTTCTGATCGGATTTTTCGACCAAATTGACTGTAATTTAGTACGTCGAGTTCTTATTAGGTACCACATCTCTCCACTATAAATTATAAATATTGGTCAATTTCTGGTAGCCCCCAGGTTTTGAGGTTCTTGAACCAAATTCTTTTTTCTGGTACAGGGTATTATGTTTTTGTGCATATGTTTGTAACATGCAAAAATAATCGAGATAGACCCATGGTTCCTTTTGAGAATATGCATAGAATCACTTTTTGAGTCGATTTAAGCACGAAATTTGGCACAGCGTAGCAAATTAGGTCTAGAATGATGTGTGTAAAGTTTCCTGAAAATCGGTTCAGATTTATATATAGCTCCCACATATACTTTCGTCAGATTTAATGTAAATGGTGCACCAAAGTCCCTATATATCTTTCGATTTGCACAAAATTTGGCACAGCGTAACAAATTAGGTCTAGAATGATGTGTGTTAAGTTTCCTGAAATCGGTTCAGATTTAGATATAGCTTCTATATCTGACCAAATGAACAATTTAGTATCGGTTGCAGAATGACGTGTTTATGGTTCCAATTTCATTTTACTGGTCCTTTAAAAATGCGACTTCTGTTAGGATTCATCTGTTGAATATACTCAAAGTGGTGAAGGGTATCATATAGTCGGCCCCGTCCGACTTTACTACTTTCCTTACTGGTTTAATCAAAGAAATGTCTACTTAATCAATTTCTTAGCTTCCATCAATCAATATCTATCTAAAACAAATGAAATATATTTTATCATATATCAAAAATCAAAATTAATTAAAAAACTAATATCCATCTCCCTTGTTTTCTTTTCCTTGCAGTGTGTCAATGTAATGGACATGCCCGTCGCTGCCGTTTCAATTTGGAATTATATAAGCTGTCCGGTCGTGTGTCGGGCGGTGTTTGCTACAATTGTCAGCACGATACGACAGGACGCTACTGTCATTATTGTCGCGAGGGCTATTACCGGGACAATACCAAACCGCTCAATCATCGTAAAGTTTGTAAACGTAAGTAAAAATCAAACACATGAAAAGAAAATAACATTTGTCGATTTTATCAAATGTTTCAAAAAGTACTACCTCACAAAATAAAGTACCAAAAAAAAAAAAAATATATTTTCTAAAAATAGCCTAACGCTTTAATGGTGGGGGTTTACAAAAACAATGACCAGTCGAAAAAACAAACCCCACAATTATCCATCAAAACAAAAGATAAGAAGAGAGATGGGTGGTAGAGGTCAACATTTTTTCATATATAAAAGTCAAAATTAAATAAATATTATATTCCCCATTGTTGAACACACCCATCCATGTAGATGGGTCAAAGTTGCAAAAATAAAATACCACAACATCATCATTAGTTGTAGAAAATCACTATCAAAGCGTCTATATATGTGTGTGTTTGTGCACATTTTCTCCACCTTAATAATCTTTGCACACCCCCTGGTAAACATGGTAACATTTTGCAGAATGAGCGTATCATTTGGTTTTGTTTGGTATGAATTGAACGTTTTTTCTATTTCATATCCCCCTAAATAATCTGTTAGACCTGACTTTCGTCATGGCCGAAATCGAATTTGAAGTAAAAACATAAAAATCCAAACAAAATACACAGGGTATGATGGGATTAGCCCACCATTTGGAAAATTTGGCGAATGGAAATCTCATTGAAAAGGGAGCATACTGTACAGAGGGGAAAGTTGAAAGAAAAAACTTTAAGTCATTAAACGGGGGATTTAAGTGGCATTTCAATCAATAATCTTTCGATATGGGTAGGGGAGGTGAGTGAAATACGAAAATAAATACATAAAACGTTTAGATAGCTCCTGATAGAAAAGTTCTAATACAGAGATTATAAAAAATTATTTAATACAACATTTTCTGAATTTTGTGGCGATTCGATTTTTTTATACAAAAGTAGTTTTTCTGTTCAAAATCTCTGGGAAAAGCTTCTTAAAAAAATTGTGTTCTCAATAGATCGTGGACCTGAAAACGGGGGTTGGAACAAAATAGGTTTCCTAAGGATTCGTTTAATTAGACCGTACAATTGTCGGACATAGCTGGAAAATCTTTGGCATGTCTTGTGTATACAATGGACCCTGTTCAATATGTAGAATAACATTTTTAATTTTTAACACATAAAAGTCTTATAGGGTCCATCTTTGCAGATTGCTTTAAATTGGTTCAAATTTAACTAAAAGTCCCATGTATACTTTAGTTCGATTTCAGAAATATCTTTTATAGCCGCTGTGTATACAGTGGACCCTCTGATATTGGTCTTTTAGAGGTCATCTTTGTATAAAATACTTTTGCGAGATGTTATATAGATAGACGAATGTATAGTCAATAAATCTTCAATAGACCTTTTAAATACTTTAAGTGTTTTTCAGGACTTCTCAGGGCCCACTGATATGTCATTAACATAATCTTTTTTTAGTCTTCAAAAGGAGAAGTTGGTGTTCAATACTTCTTCTGCCTTTCCAACCCCCCAAAATAGTATAGATATGTAATATCTATCAAATTTTCTGTTGGCCAAAGGGAATTCAGATCTTTTAAATACAGAAAATGTCGTCCAGGCCTCCCATATTCAGCACCTTCTATCGAAGTACTTACGGATGTCTTCAATATGCAATATTAGATAGATCAGAGGACTATTTCAGAGGAGGACTATTTGCTATAGACATAATACCTTATTCAGGCCCATGTGAGATCTTTTTCAATTCTTAAATTAGAAGAAGACTTCTGCCGAAAAAAGGAAAACCGAATATCTTTGTCAGGAAATTTGTAGCCATCTTTAGGTATTCTGTGTATGTAGGAATTCTATGTCATCTTCAGATGTGTTCCATAGACAGATGGCATATGACATATAGACAGAAAATCATCTTCAGGTCTTCTACGAAATGAAGAAAGACTTCATGTGAAATTTCTCCAGGATTTTTATAGAAAGAAGACTTCATTTGATATACTTAAGATGATAGCATAGGAGAGAAGATATCTATCATGTCAAACTGACTTAAGTAGGTCAGGTATTATATTTGTATAACATTTCCTTCCGATTTTCTTTGGACTTAATACTTTAATCAGGTCTTCTACAAGCCGAGCATTTTTAATGGCCTCTGTATACCCTTTCATGAGACTTTATTCACATCTTCTATACCGAATGTTTCCTGTATAGACTAAAAACCTCCATCTTAAGATAGAAGATATATTTTTTTAGAATGTTCACTCCCGTTTCGGTCTTCTTCATGGCCGACGATTTAATTCAATTCTTCTTACGAGTAGTACATGTAATATCGCCGTTAGGTCTTCTACAAACCCAAAACCTTATTCGGAGTTTATTTAGACTTTCTGTAGGGCCTCTGTAGACAAAATATAATTTTCAGGTCCAAAACCCTTCTGCAAGATTTCTATTATATCTTTTTCCGGTTTTTTTTCATACTACAATTTTTCTATAAATAGTTGAAGATAAAAACTCCACGCCTTTGATAGTCCTTAGAAAAACATTTTAAAAAATCCAAGCCTTTGATAGTTCTTAAAATTGTTATCATAAGAAACCATGCTTTTGATATCCCTTAAAAATATTTTTATAGTAAACAAAACAGTGGATAGTCCTTAGCAAAATATTTAAGGAATCTGCGCCTTTGATAGTCTCTTGAAAACTTTTAAAAAATCCACGCTTATGAAAGTCTGTTGTCCTTAAAAAATATTTTTATAATAAATCATACCTTTGATAGTTCTTACAAAAATATTAAAAAAAACGCCTATGATTGTTTTTAATTATTTCTTTAACAACCACAACTTTGATTGTTCTTAGAACAATATTTTAACAAATCCTCCCCTTTGATAGCCTCTACAAAAATATCTTTTAAAAATCCACGCCTTTTATTGTTCTTAGAAAAATATTTTCAAAAAATCCATGCCTTAGGAAAATATACTAAAAATTCCACGCCTTTATCCTCAATTATATTTTCCCCTACAGTTTACTTTGAGCCACTGTTTCATTGTCAAATTTCGTTGTATCATTTTGTCACAATTGTTGTTTGTTTGAAAACTGAAACCGTCCACTCCCAATATCAGAAAACTTGTTCGGCATATCGACCATAACAAATATTTGAAAGTTTTAGCTAAATTCCAATTTAATTGATTTTTTTCTGTATTTTGTTATATTTACTTTGGAGGCAACACCCCCACCGCAAAAAAATGGTCAATATGTTATACGTATGTGAAATCGTCACTATATAAATATTGAAGTAAATTTTTGGTAACATATATTTTGAAATTAAAAACTTATTGTTGTTACAATAGAAAATATAATTTTCCAAAGTGTCTTCACTGAAAATAATTTTAACAATTTAACACCTTTTTAATAATTACATTTCCTCTATATTCTGTAGTATTAAATTTACTTGCCTTTATAAAAAAATCAAAACATTTCATAAACTCTTTAAAATATTTTGAGAAATTTCAATCTAAACATCCTGTGACGAACAATGAGTTACATTTCCCACAGCATGCCGAATTTTTAAATAAACCATTAAATTATAAAATTTCATTGGCGTCTGTCCATTCATCGAACACTGGCTGTATATTGTGTGGTTAGTATCAAATTTGTTTTTGGCGGCATGGCATTGCTTTAATTTTTGGCCAATATTCATATTATGATGGTTGGGCGCTTAACAACAATTACATCCTCCTCCATTCTGTGTTTTCGTCAACGTCATCATCATCATCGCCGCTATGTTCATCATGACAGAGTTCAATTAAAAGTACCGATTGCTGTTGTTTTGAGTTGTAGTAGTCCGTCCGTCGTTGTACAACACAATAGATTGTTGGGTGGCATTTTGTTTGGTTGTGAATGGTGGGAGCGAAGGAGGTATTATTTAAATTAAACATAAAATTACTTTTTAATTGAATTTAAATTACACTTTGAGGTAAAGTTTTCAATGTTGTGTTCCGCAGGCACTACTCCACATCGCACAAAGCTGTTTCCAAAATACAAGCCATTCATTCGTTCATTCGGTTAATGTTTTGATGTAGGTGTCGTCTTTGTTGTGTGTGTGTATTTTATGTGGCATTCACAACAATTCCACTATTCCAAGTTTTGTGTTTAGATTTGTATCTCGTCGACATTCTCTTTAATGTTATTTTATGTTTTTACATTCAATTAAAATTCTATATCTCTGATAAATGTGCTAACATTGGCAAAAGAACACACAAGGAGAGAGGGAGAAAGGATGGAAGGAAGGAAGATTTGTAATTTTGGTATAGTAATCTTGTTGCTTGGAGACCGTAGCCTTAACACAGAATTTTATAGGATGAGAAAATGAAACAAGGTGTGTGTTGTGGAGAATTGTGCTGGAAAACTTAAATTATGAATTTATCTAAAAATTTATTAGTAAAGAAAATGTGTAAATTGAAAATCTTGAAAACAAATCTGAAGATTTATATCACCCTAAAATGACCTGATTTCTTTTCTACTGGAAGGCCAACAATGGCCACTGTGTATAGTTGAAATCGTTGTTATCTCTCATCACTGTAAGATTCAAGCTATTGTTCTTGGAATTGTGTGTCAAGTGCTAAATTGATGAAGGCATCCATCTATCTATCCATGCATAATGGGCAACGTCTCAGTGGAAAAAATATGTAGTAGACGGTGTTTTTACAAGAAGATGTGAAAAAATAAAAATTTCGTATAGTTAGCATAACAAAAAAAGGATATGTGGATCTCCCATGTTTGTAGGATCTTCTGACAAATTTCCATAGTTAGAAGAAAATATGCATCCCTTCAACAGTCCTTCTCTATAAAAATACGACCCTTTCTTCTACTTCTTCTTATATACGCCTTTGATTGAGCTATATTTAAATCTGAACCGATTTTTCCCATTTTCAATAGGGTTCGTCCTTGGGCCAATTAAGTGACCTGTGCCAAATTTCCAAATCGGATCATAAATGCGACCTGTACTTTGTTAACAAAAATACATGGACGGACAGACAGACGGACATGCATAAATCGACTCAAAAAGTGATTATATGCATATTCTCAAAAGGAACCATGGGTCTATCTCTATACTTTTGCCTGTTACATGCGCAAAGACATACTACCCTGTACCACAGTGTGGTGAAGGGTATAAAAAGTCCACGCCATTGATTGTCTTCTACAACATTGATTGCCCTTGGAAAAATATTTTTTTAAGAAATCCACGCATTCGATTGTCTTCTACAGCATTGATTGTCCTTGGAAAAATATTTTTAAAAAATCCACGCCTTTGATTATCCTTAGAAAATATTTTTAAAAAGTCCACGTCTTTGATTGTTATTGGAAAAATATTTTTAAAAAATCCACGCTTTTGATTATCCTTAAAAATCTTTTTAAAAAATTTAAGGTTTTGATTATCCCTTGGAAAATATTTTTAAGAAAATTAAGGTTTTGATTATCCCAAAAAAATGTTTAAAAAAATCCAGGCCTTTGATAATCCTTGGAAAAATAATTTTAAAAAGTCCACGTCTTTGATTGTTCTTGGAAAAATATTTTTAAAAAATCCACGCCTTTGATTATCCTTAAAAAATTTACGAATTTGATTATCCTTAAAAAATCTTTTTAAAAAATTTACGGCTTTGATTATCCCAAAAAATGTTTTAAAAAATGTATGGCTTGTTTTTTAAAAATCCACGCCTTTGATTATCCCAAAAAATGTTTTAAAAAATGTATGGCTTGTTTTTTTAAAAATCCACGCCTTTATTATCATTAAAAAAAAACTTTTTAAAAAATCCACGCCTTTATTATCCTTAACAAAAAACTTTTTAAAAAATCCACGCCTTTATTATCCTTAACAAAAAACTTTTTTAAAAAATCCACGCCTTTATTATCCAAAAAAAAAAAATGTTTTAAAAAATGTACGGCTTTGATTATCCCAAAAAATATTTTGTTTTAAATCCACGCCTTATTATCCTTACAAAAACTTAAAAAATCCACGCCTTTGATTATCCTTATAAATACATGCTTTTGATTATCATTAAAAAAATTTAAAAAATCCGCGCCTTTGATTATCCTTAAAAATATTTTTAAAAAAATCCACGACTTATATATATATATATATATATATATTATTAATAAGTAATAATTTTCTTAACGATAGTGCTTTCAAAAACAATGATTAATTATTTTAATTTTTCATTTATCAATATATCACCATCTGTCAATTTATTTTTATTAACTTTTATTAATCGTATTTAAATTATTATTCTTATTTGCAGGATGTGATTGTCACCCCGTGGGCTCGACGGGTAAAACATGCAATCACTTAAGTGGTCAATGTCCCTGTAAGGAAGGTGTTACCGGTTTAACATGTAATCGTTGTGCTCGCGGCTATCAACAAACTCGTTCACATGTGGCACCCTGTATAAGTAAGTAATATACCACTACACCCACACCACTACACCCACACCAATAACAAAAAATCCTCCTCTTTCGAAGTAAAATATAAAATTAATTGATTTATAAACAAGAGGAGAAGTCAAAGACAAGACAGACCTACAACGACGTGGAGTCGTCGTCATCGTCCAACCAGACACAAACATACAGGTGGACACAACAAACAGTTGCTGTTCTTGTTCTTTAACTTACTGACTGGCTGAGTGACTGACAGAAAGCAATTTAATTACAACAATTTTATTATTGTAGCGCTGTTCTTTTCATTTGATATTAATGCCAGTCGTGTTTTGTTCTTTTTTTTCTCTTTTCCCACTTTGTTTTGAAATTTATTATTGTTTGTTGCTGTTGGGCTGATTGCTGACTGGCTGCCGTTGCAATACTTTTAATTTCATTCGACTACCGGCACCTCAAACTACAATAAACACCTCCATCAACACTGCCCACTCGCTGGTTGGCCGGCTCGCTTCTCCGCCATAAACCTTGTTTGAATGACCACGGCCACATTGTGGATGCTGATGGGTTTATGAATGTGCTCTGTTTTTTTTTTCATTTTGACTACCTTCGCTTTCCGTTCCTGTTGCATTTATTTGCTGTTGTTATTGCTGCTGCTGGTGTTTTTTTTTCGTTTTCCTGTACGACCGACCCAATTAACAGAAGTGCCAACAAATGCAAATATGATACAGGCTGAAAGTGCAGCGGTCAGTGAATACAGAGAACCCACCCAGGCTGAGGAAATGAAAAAATGTAAGTACCCCCCAAAACGTGAATGCGAAAAATTAATAAAATAGGAGATAGTATTGTTTTAAGGGTTATAAAATAGAGTAATTCTTTAAAAAGAAATAATCGATTTTATTTAAAAATTCAAGCCTTTAATAGTTATCGGAAAAAAACTCCAAGCCATTGATAGTCCTTGGAAGAACTTAAAATATTTAAGCCTTTGGTAGTTCATAAAAAAAAACATTTAAAAAATTCCCCTCTTTTAACAGCCCTTAAATAATATTTTTAAAAAATCCAAGCCTTTAATCGGACGAAACTACATATAGGAGCTATATCTAAATCTGAACAGATTTTAACAAAACTTCGCAGACATCACTCAGGACCTAATTCAGTACTCTGTGCAAAATATTGCCTCGATTGGACAAATATTGGGAGTTTGGTGCATCATTCATTTATGATTTTAACAAAACTTCGCAGACATCAATTTGGCCCTAATTCAATACCCTGTGCAAACTTTTGTCCCAATCGGACAAATATTGGGAGTTTGGTGCATCATTCACAAAAAATCGGACGAAACTATATATGTATATATATAAATCAGCTGAGCTGATTTGAACAAAACTTTGCAGACACCAGTCTGGACCTAATTCAGTACTCTTTTCAAAATTTTGACCCAATCGGACAAACATTGGGAGTTTGGTGCATCATTCACAAAAAACGGACGAATCTATATATGGGAGCTATATCTAAATCTGTCGAGGAAAATATTTTCTAAAATCCACACCTATATTAGGTAATTAATTTTTTTTTTTAAATCCATGCCAATATTTGGCCTTCAAAAATGTTTTTAAGAAATCCATGCCTATATTAGGCCTTCAAAAATGTTTTTAAGAAATCCATGCCTATATTAGGCCTTCAAAAATATGTTTAAAAATCCACGCCTATATTAGGCCTATAACAGACCTCGAAAAAATATGTTTAAAAATCCACGCCTATATTAGGCCTATAACAGACCTCGGAAAAATATTTTTAAAAATCCACGCCTTTTGGATAGGCCTTCGAAAAAATATTTTTAAAAATCCACGCCTATATTAGGCATATAACAGACCTCGAAAAAATATTTTTAAAAATCCACGCCTATATTAGGCCTATAACAGACCTCGAAAAAATATTTTTAAAAATCCACGCCTATATTAGGCCTATAACAGACCTCGAAAAAATATTTTTAAAAATCCACGCCTATATTAGGCCTATAACAGACCTCGAAAAAATATTTTTAAAAATCCACGCCTATATTAGGCCTATAACAGACCTCGAAAAAATATTTTTAAAAATCCACGCCTATATTAGGCCTATAACAGACCTCGAAAAAATATTTTTAAAAACCACGCCTATAACAGACCTCAAAAAATTATTTTAAAAAATCCATGCCTATTGCAGGTCTTGAAAAAAAAATAATTACAAAATCTGCGCCTAAAGTAGACCATAGAAAAACATTTGTTAAATATTCCCGCTTATATAAAATATTAAAAACATGCACGCCAATTTAATTATTAGAAAAAATATTTTAAAAATCCACCTGATAAAAATATTTAAAAAAAATCCAATCCTATAGTGCATTAAAAAAAATCGTCATTATTACAGGGGTCATTTATTTTTTTGTTCTTTTTGATAACCCTTTAATCCATTTTTGTATAAATAAAATATTACAATTACTAAAATTTTTTTCCATTTTTATCATTTTTTTCTTTTTGCTTCTTTTTCACATCCTTCTGTAATACCACCCATCTTCAAAATATGAACGGCATCAGATTGTGGCAAATGTAAAGCAACACCGAAGAAATTAAATTTAAATAAATTCTGCATGGAAGATTATGGTAAGTCCTTAATTAATAATAAAACCACGCATAGACTTGATGGAGATGGTCATGGAAAATGGGATTTAATTGATGAAATTATTTTTTTCCTTTTTTTATTACATTTTAGCCCTCATTGCCAAAGTCATTGGCCACGACAGGGCATCCCAGGATATTAGCACAGAGAAATTCTCCATCGAACGCCAAAACGAAATTTTCAAATATGAAATAAATATACAAACAATATTTAAACGCAATCCAATGATGGGTACAACGAGTTCAATGCTGGCCCGGGGTCATATGATGTGGTTGGTGCCGCGTAAAAATTTGGAATGCCAGTGTCCAAAAATTAAAATGAATAAGTAAGTGGAAGGACATTTTTAATGATTTCATTTTTTTACTTTACAGGAAAAACATGTTAAAAACATTTTTTTTAATTATTTTTGTTCTTATTTTTCTTCTCTCCTTTTAGAACATATTTAATATTGGGTCGTGATGCGGAAGCGGCACCCGGCTATATGGCCATCGGTCCTAGCTCCGTTGTCTTGGAATGGAAAGAAGAATGGTCACTGCGCATGAAACGTTTTCAACGACGAGCGCGTAAATGTAGTTGAATCGAACCGGAAGCGGAATATGTCAGAACGGATTTTAATTTCGTACATTTGGAACGTTATAGAATTTTGTATAAATTGTACAGTTTGCTCAAATTTTTAACTTTCTTTGGCATAATGCTATAAATATTACAAAGAAAACAAAATAACAAATTACTCAATAACACGAAATATACACCTATATACTAACACACACACAACATATACATATATACACACACTCATTATACATCTTTTTTTAAATTAAATCCCAGAAAAAAAATTATAGCATTTACAAAAAATTACTTTAAAATATTTTTATTTTTTATATATAAATTTATATATGTAAAATACACAGTATATATATATTTATTTGTCGAATTTCGTGATTTAATATTTTTTTAACAAAATTACTATAACAACAACCACCAGAAAAAATATTGCAGCAAGCAAAAGCCAAGTTACTTAATTATGCTTACATGAGAAAAAACATGAGTCGTGCTTTCACACATACACACACAGAATGCCACGCTGGAAGATGTTTATATTTATTCCAACCCACTGTGCCAAATCAACAAACAATTATTATTCCAAAAAATAAAAATTTTTCATCATAGAGAGTATTCATGTTCGCCACCCTAATACACGGTTGAATGATGTCCTGTCCCGCCGTTATTAACCACATAATTATGGTGTCCCATCAAAGGGGAAAAAACGAACCACAGTGCATCAACATTATTCATTATTTAATAAAAAAAGGAGTACAATAAAAAACCGTTATGCATGTGGCACAACAAGTTAATTGTTGTTGCAAGCAACAACATTGTAATTTTTTTATTTAATTATGCATGACAGTTGATTGCGCTGATGTGTAGTGTTTTTTTATTAATTCTGTCAACCTACAGGGTAAACTGTGTTCATTGTATTATAAATAATTACTTAAAACCCGTTAAATCATAATTGTTTTATAATAATTAATTTTTCACTCTACTGGACTTTTTTCGCATATTTTATTTATTTTTTTGTTTTGGTAATTAATTCATGGGATATATTTTTTTGGAGGGTGGTATAAATGGGGAAATGGGTTGAGGGTATAAAAATTCATGCCTAGAAAGAAAAATTCATGATGCAGTAGAACAGTAGTACTTGAAAAAATGGGCTATACAAAATAAATCCTACAATAGTCCTCTATTAGTAGGGGAAACTGGGGCACCTTCGGCTATCGCGTTTTCGATATGAAGCTCTCACCGTACATCTCTAGTTTCGATACATAGGTATCGAATATCGAAATAAATAACTGTTACAAAGTTTGAAATTTCCAGCTGATAAACGTATTTAGATGCACGGATTTTTGTATTTTTACAGATGTTTTTGTAATATTTCCATTCTATTTCGTAAATTTTCGTAGGTAAAACTTTGTAAATTTTAAGACAATATTATTGAAAAATATTCGGCATTTTAATGTGGGGCACATTCGGCCATATACAGATAGTGCCATATCATTTCCTTAAAATGTTTTGGAGTTTGCCTTTAAAAATAATCCTTTAATATGTTTCGAAATTACATATATAAGACTAAATGTGCTGGTATTGACGAAAATGCGATAGAAAGAACCTAAATCTGATGGTGTGTGCGACCTTGAGATTTCAACGTCCGCCGCTAGAAAATATAGTCCTAAAATTCAAACATTGTGTCGCGTATTAAAACCAAATAGAGCCTTTAGAGGATCTGAATTTCAACCAGACTGATAGCGATAATTACCAGGCTATGACTATAGTGCCGAATGTGCCCCATCAAATGCCGGGTTGGGACACATTCGGCAAATTCGACATTTTTACAAAACTGTAACATTTTTTAACTAATACTAATTTTTTATATCGTTTTGGTTAGTTAAAAAAATGGAACTTCGGATATTTTTCTTTTTATTTTATTGACACACATAAAAACTACAATATTTCGTTAATCCAATAGTGAAAGTTTCATTCAAATATCTCCATTAATCACCTAGTTATGGCCATTTCAATTTGACCATGTGTAAAAATATACCTGCTGTGCGATTCTGTTTGCCTGGTACGGCAAATGGGAAAAACGAAGAAATTGCAATACCACAGAAACATAAGAATTGTTTTCTGCATTGTGTAACGCCTAAAAATATGCTCACAATTTCACAAACTAACATGGAAGCACTAAGCAAACGATGTGGCAACACATCCTCCATTTTTCTGTTTTTGTCGTATTGCAATTTCGTCGATTTTCCAACTTGTCGCACCAGGCAAACAGAATCGTTTAACAGCTATATTTTGACACATGTTCAATTTAAAAGGGTCATTACTCGGTGATGAATGGAGATATTTGAATAAAACTTTCACTATTGAAAAGGGGGAGACATGTAGTTTTTACTTAAAATACTACGGATCTATTTCTTAAAGAACATTTTTGTAAATATTTCTTTATGAATATTTATTCAAATTTTAATAGAATATTTTTTTTCAACTGCTAATCTGGCGCCATCTAGAGAATGGGTAGATACAAAAATCGATTAAGTCAAATTTTAAACTCTTTTATTGTTCCTATAAATTTGGATGACATGCCATAATCTGTTCAAAAGTTATACGCTTCGAAAGTTGGATTCGACAAACTGATGTGGCTGGTTTGAATCATTTCAGCTCCAATTAACAGCTCTGGCAAAACTTCTCCTCAGTGTCATCTATTGAATGGGTAGATCTAAAAACCGATAAGCCAAAATTTCTACATAAACTTTTTAGTCATAACTTTTTTCGTTTAAATTTTAAAATTTTTAATATAATTGAATTCTGCCCATTAATAGATGACGCTTTCGACAGGTTTATACAAATTTCACAGCTCATTTGTTTCTGCCATAACTTTTTTTGTAGTAATGATATTAAAATAAAATTTGTGTCATATGAAAGGTACAGGCATATACTTTCCAGTGAATTTCTATAAAATTGGCAGCTCTGTTAAAAACTTGTAGTCAGCGCCATCTATTGAATGGGTAGATCCAAAAAACCGATCCCCGAAAATGTGTACATAATTTCTTTTTGTCATAACTTTTTTTCGTACAGAAGATATTTAAATGAAAGTGGTGTCATATGAATGGTGTAATCCTACACATTATTGTAAAGAAATAAAAAAATCTTTTTATAATTTTTAATATAATTGAATCATGTCCATTAATAGCTCTGACAAAAACTTGTCGTCAGCTCCATCTATTGAATGGGTAGATACAAAACCCTGTCAACTAAAATTTGAACGTAATTTCGTTGAAATGCGATCATCTGGTTAAGAGTTATTCGCTTCGAAAGTAGGGCTTTAAATACTGATTTGAATCATGCCCCTCAATAGATGGCGCTGACGATGCGTTCTTAGAAGTTTCATACTTCATTTACTTTTTCCCATAATTTTTTTCGTACTACTGATATTAAAATATATTCAATATGATGGGTATAATCCTATACTTTCTGGCGAAAGAAAATCACTTAAATATTTCTTTGGAATATGAAATCTGGTATTGAAGTTTTCTTTAATTTCTTTGATTTTACTGTTCATAGTAAAGTATACTATTTTCGCCTGTCATATGACAGCAGTTTCCTTGAATTTGGATAATATATTTAAAAGTTATACGCTTTGTAAGCGGGGTTTCAAAAATTGATGTGTTTGATTTGAATCATGCCCAGCAATAGATGGCGCTGATGACGCTTTCTTAAATGTCGCGTACTTTATTTTTGCCATAACTTTTTTTTTAATCTACCCCCTATATAATTACTTGAAGTATTCCTAAATAAATCCTAGATACATTTTTTATAAATTGTTCACTTTTAACGCAATCTAGATCGCCAGCAGTCATCCATGGAATATCATTTAATATCTGTTTTTTTTTTTTGGTCTTATATTACAAAATTTTACATTTTTATATCGAAGCATTCAATTTTTCACATTGTCTAACTAATGAATATTACTTTATTTAATTATACAAAATTGTAATCGTTGCAATCATAATTAAATTATATTAAATTAATTATATGCAAATAGTCTGCATATTAACCTTCAATGTTGCATATTTGAAAACGCTGAACGCTGTCCATACACAGGGCCATGAATCCAAAATATGGAAATTTAATTATCACACAATTTTAATAATTCAATAACCTTTGCAGTTTTTCATATTCATTGTCTGGCATTACAACGTGCATAATGGAAATATAAATGTTTTAAAATGAATTTTTAAATATTAAAATTTATGAACGAATAAAATTTTATATTCACATTTTTGACAATTAAAAAAAAATCTTATAATATTTGTAATAATGTTTGTGATTTTTTGAATCTTGATATTTTCCATATTTTTGTATTATTTTTTTTACAATTGTTATATATTTCCAATAAAATTAAATTTTTATTTGTTCAGGTTTTCTTATCAAGTCTATTGTCTTTAACAATAAATATTTTTTTTTCTTTTTTCTCGTCCTTATCGATTCTCCATCATCTCCGAAATTAATTACAATTCCTAATCAGCAAACAAAAACAGAATAGATACATATTCAATAAGCCATGACAAATGTCCATTACAATTTCAATAATCATTTGTTAGCATTTGGCTCAAAAAGCTCATTAATCCCAGAGATTTATTGCTTTCCTATGCGTCGTAGCCTTTAGGAATTTTCTGCAAACTGAAGTACTCACAAACATTTATACATACAACCAAACAAGAAAATATAAAAATAAAATTTTTTTCTCCTTGAATATGTTACTATAACATTTCCACAAATAACCTCTTCTTGTTATTAACAAAATGTCACAAAGGATATTCATGCACATATATATGTTTCAAATGTCACTTGAAGAAAATCCTTGTCCATTATTATATTCCTGCTACAACACATAAAACACCTAGAATTTCTTAAAGAGACAACCTTGTCACTTAACCGAACTGAAACAACAACAGACAGCTTTGAACTGTAACGGCATCACCATCACTAGCTATCATTAGATACAAATCTTCGTAAAGCAAAAAAAAAAAAAAAAAATCCCGATTCCTTTTTAAGGCATTTACTATTTGGTTGGAAAAACTAAACACGCAACTAAGACTTCGAACACACATTTTGAATGACAAAATGAGGTTATGT